TATTCTTTTTAAAATTAAAAAGAAAGGCGTTATTTAACAGGTTCTTGGAAAAAAGTAATCTGATTACGTAACTCGCGTTACTTGTAATGCGATACCCCCAACACTGGTGTCAACTGCATGCTATTTTGTCTGAAACTGCTGTTATCAGGGTGAATTTATCGTTAAGAACGAACAACGATCACTCAGCTGACAAATGTAGACAGGAAACATATAGCAAACCAAACTAAAAAACAATTATCATGTACCTAAAATTGGTCACTTGACTCGGAGTATAAGCGGTACGCTCATGTCTTCACACCAAAGACCACAAATGTAATTCACGCCGGACAAATATAAACCTGTTTCTTTTGAACATACGCAGACGGGCACAACTCTCTGCACTCAGCGAGGACTTCCGGAGATAACTTCCGGAGTTTGATGTCAAAATAAAAGTCATTGTTGTAAATGTTTAATGTAATTCGATACAGAAGTAGAACGCGGACAAAAAGTAAAACAGTTGGTAAACGTTTAATGAATCATTGTTATGTCATTTACCAATTTATTCACTGTTTTACTTATTGTAAATAACTAATCTGACGTCCACACCACTGCACGATAATGTCGTGCGCTGCTGTCAGTTCCTGCTCTTTAAAGAGGTCATATGATGTTGCTAAAAAGAACATTATTTTGTGTATTTGGTGTAATGAAATAGGTTTATGTGGTTTAAAGTAAAAAAAAAAACGTTATTTTCCACATACTGTACATTATTGTTTCTCCTCTATGCCCCGCCTTTCTGAAACACGTCGATTTTTACAAAGCTCATCAGTCTGAAAAGCGAGGTGTGCTCTGATTGGTCAGCTATCCAGTGCGTTGTGATTGGCCGAATACCTCAAGTGTGAGATGGAAATGTTACGCCCCTCACCATACTGTGTGATGCCGTGTCCGGCCGGAGCGACGAGACAAAAACATTAAAACCCATTACAAACGCATTATGCAAATCTTCCCACATAGTGAGGTAGACATGTGGGGGTGTGTTAAAACAAGCCGTTTTAGGTAGGTGTGGCTGACTCTTAACTTTTATAAAGAATATCTCTTTGGATTTGCAACTTTACAGATCTTCTTTATGCACCAAGAGCTTGTAACACTCCAACGAGAAAGGAAAAATTGAAATCGCATCATATGACCCCTTTAAAGTAGGGCGGTCTCCGATTGACTGTCAGTGATTTTATCATTCATCATTTTGAAAAAAAAAATCATAAAAACTGAAGTGTAAAACAATAAAAGTAAAAAAAAATCAATACAAAAATATTTTAGATGATTATTTACGTTGTTTCCTAGTACTATACAAACTTTAATTTTCTCTCGTGTTTATCAGGTTGGTAATAATGGCAGTTATTAGCTCTCCATGGCTTCTATTCATAAGTTCTCTTTGAAAATTATATTTGATCGAATTATTATAATCATAACCTGATTATAATAGTTAACTGTTAAAATGTAAATGTTCTAGAACAGTTTTAACCTATTTACAAGATAATTTTTTTTATACCGGGAAGTAATGAAAAGGTTAGTTTACCTTCAAGCCTGACAACAATCAGTCTGTCACTGTTCTATGACCCAAGAAAGAGCTGGAATAATGGAGTGTGATGCATAAACAAACTTATGGTAAATCATGCAGATGTTTAATTGCTTTGTACACAAGTTTAAAAGATTAAAGGGTTCCACATGATCTGATCAAAAATCTTTGCTTGTGTATCTGAACATTTTCTAGACCCATAAACGCCATATTTTAAGCACAGAGTCGCCCGTTCTGATGGGTAAGTGATGAAGTAATTTATATTTCCCATCAAACGCTTTCGAAGTATTTATTTTCTGACATATTTACGTCTTGCTGATCTGTTTTACTGACATAACACATCATAAAAAATTAACTGATATTTCCTAAATCCTGAAAATGTCTTGTCTTTCTTTTTGAACAGTGGAATATGTCGTGTTTTCAGGAATAGGTGAGATGCTCTTCAAAGTCAAGACCAATGCTCTTGCACCGTTGCCTCTTTTGTCCGTCATTTCCAGCAAGTATTGTAAGATTTTCCTCCAATGGTTAGATTTTATTTTATTTATGCTGCTGATATATATTCTGTAATTTCACTTCCTCTTTTAATTGGACATACACATCACACTCTACCACAGAAAACAGAGAGAGGGGCACGTGTGGAACCAATGAGAACATAGACACGGATTTTAACAACAGCAAACAAACAAACAAACAAATACACATACATACATACAGACTTGTGTCATACAAACATACTTAGTTATATAAAGCTAAACGATGAAGTATCATAACTGGAGTATAGTAACTGTAGTATTAATTGCTGTAGTTTGAGCAGAAATAGAACCACTATAATAATCGGAACAATAATGTTATTAATTAAAAGGCGAAAGGAGTAATCCCCAAATAAACTTATTTTTTCCCCCCAAAATCTTTAGCCAGAGTCCACACCTACATACACGTTGATCCATCTCGTCATTTTGGGTACTTTTTCAAGTGCAACATACTGTATGAGAACATAATCGGTCACTTTCATGCGGAGCGGGATTGTCTTTGGGTCACACAAGATACTGTAAAGAACCACTGAACATTTTGAAGCAGTGAATCTGTGATAGTGATAGGAACAAAGATTAGGTACAGAAACAAGCGTTTCTCCATCTGGCTGGCAGTCTCAACTGGCTGACCTCTGACCTTCAGAGGCACGTCTCCAAGCTATGCAGAGGGCTCGCAGGGCAGGGGGAAACACTCGAGCCCAGGTAGACGTGGCTCTCGGTGGCGTTGTTGTTGCAGTTGAGGGTGACCGGCAGACTCTGCTGCCTCAGCGGGCGGGGCGGGTAGCGGGATCGCGGAGGCCTCTGGGGCTCCTGGGGCTCCTGGGGCTGAGAGTGAGGGCTGGGGTGACGAAGCGCCACACACACGTGGTTATGGTTGGAGCGTTCCGATTCATCGTCCACGTCAGTCTCGTCGATCAGGGGGATGTTGTGGACCGAGTCTGTGATGATAAACTCCGGGTGCGCCTGGAAGTCGTGAATGGAGTTCCGCGACTCGGGCCGCTCGATGCCGCCGTGGAGGGAGCTACGGAAAGCTTTCACCACCCGGATCTATACGTCAAGGGTGCAGGGTAGGAGATGTCAAAGGGAAGAAAATGGAGGGATCAAAGGGACAGAGAGGTGGAGAGAAGTTTAGTCCCCCATTTGCACTACCCAAGCACTTTCAGCTAGCTGACCTGCGAGAGCTGAAAGTTTCACATCCATTAAGGCCTTTGGTGCAGTAGGCCTTTGAAAAGAAACAAAACTCCACAGCCATTCTATAGGCCTCTATAGAATGACGCCCAAAAATAATCATTGAAATCCAAGTTGTAATTACAAGAAGAAAAGGAAATCTCAAGATGATACACAAGACGGCAAACACAAATTGTTCCAATAAAACAGAAGGATACCATAAATATCGTGAATATGATCTGTCAAAGCAGCCTTAGCCCCCTGTCTGCCTTTCATTTAATACGTGGTTCTAATGAATGACACATTGGACACAAATTTCAGATTTTTTTGTTGATGATCAAAAAAAATAATAATTTTAACCTCTGATGTTTTATGAGCAGAAAGGCATGTCAAATTAGTGACCATAAAAATGAACAGATAAAAATAAAAAATAATAATGTGTCTGCAAAGTTCAAAAACAGAATTACAACTTTCACTGTTGCCAGTTCAATACCAGGTGGTTAAAATTCATGGAACTCTAAGAAAACAAAAAACACATGCAAACAAACAACAGTAAACACACACACAAAACAATGATTTTGAAGCCACACACCACCATGTGATACGAACACAAACACATACACACTTAGAAAACACATAAAATATGAGGTTTATACTACACGGATGTGCACAGAACGCACAAACACAAAAACATACAGGAAATAAAGACATGCGTATTCACATACTGTTGGTGTTGACAAATTCTGTAATACAGATTCAGTCTTGAAAAAACAGATTGCATTAGTTACTGTAAGCATTATTTATTGTTCTGACATCATCAGTTTTCTATTTGTTACATGTATAGGGTATATTTGAAAGCCTTTTTAAAATCCACTTTCAATAAATCAAAGAAAAAAAATAATAAATGAAACATAAAGCAAAGTATCTTTGATTATATTAGCTCACTCTAATACGAGGACATTTAGAAGATCTTGATTGCCTTGTTTTTTGGAAAGAAAAAGAAAACCCAAACACTCTATGCCCTCAAAAGTATGAACACATTAAATGGGACTTGTCTCCCATGCAACCATGCACAATAATTCAAGTTTCCTCTTCCCGTTCATGCATGGCATGCAAGTACACATTCAATAGAAAAAAATATCCGTAAAAACGTTAAATCAAAATGGTCCGTTACTTTTTCTGACATCCTCGTTCTCGTCATGTGTGGTTATACAGCAGCCGTGGTGAAAATGCATCTTCTTGAAAAATTGTTTGTGTGACCATGCATGTTGGACCGTAACATTCATCGGATGCAAGTTGTTTTTTTTCCCACTCTCTGCATTCTACATGCATAGCCAAACCACGTTCGGGAATGACCACAAAGCAATGTGACTGACAGAGGGAGGGGACTTCACAACATGGACACAACAGCGCTTCTGTGGCTTTGTTTTTCCAAAGAGCCATTCGTTTTGAGGTTCCTGCTTAATTTAAAGCTGCACTGACATTGTAAACTTTCGAGTATAAGGCCCAGAATTTGTAATGGTTATGATATCAAAGAGGAAAAAAAAACATTTGGAATTAACTGCAGGGAGGAATCAGCTAGTCTTTTGTAATTCTGGCACTGGATGGAAAAACAGAAAAGGGATTGTGTTTGAATAGTTGTTCCAAACACATCACATCAGAACTCCTCATGACAGACGGCAAGAGAAGGGAGGTGAAAGACAGATGTTTGAAGGATGGAGGTCTAATCCTACAGACTACACAAAGTCATGTTCTTTTGTTGTGGCGTGATGGCCCAACAAAAGCTTTTGAGAAGCAGCCCTCTTGTGCAACATCACCAAGGCATGTGATGCAAAAATATATACTCAATGTAGCTGGATCTTTCCCTTCTCTGTTGATTTAATCTAAGAAAACACAGCACAAAGTGCTACAAGACGATGAAACAAGGACAACGACGAAAATAAAAACAGAAAAAAAAGAATATACTGGACAAGACTGTCAGGACAGGACAAGATTAGACACCCATGTTAAAAAAAGGAGAACAAAATATATTTTATTTTTAAAGGTTCATAAATAAAAGGAACTGAAGATTAACACTGAAAGGGAAATGATAATGAAACTGGGGGGCATTCCAGCTGGGCTAATGCTCGGTGGTCTCTTTGAAGGGATTTGGAAAC